GGGATACAATCTCAAAAATGACAGAATGATTTCTGTCCGATTCCAAGGCAAACCATTCAACATCACAGTAATCCAAGTCTATGCCCCAACCACTGATGCAGAAGAGGCTGAAGTGGACCGGTTCTATGAAGACCTACAACACCTCCTAGAACTAACACCAAAAAATGATGTCCTCATCATCATAGGGGACTGGAATGCTAAAGTAGGAAGTCAAAAGGTAACTGGAATAACAGACAAGTTTGGCCTTGGAAAGCAAAATGAAGCAGGGCAAAGGTTAACAGAGTTTTGTCAAGAGAACACACTGGTCATAGCGAACACCCTTTTCCAACAACCTAAGAGGCGACTCTACACATGGACATCACCAGATGGGCAACACCGAAATCAGATTGACTATATAATTTGCAGTCAAAGATGGAGAAGCTCTATCCAGTCAGTAAAAACAAGACCTGGAGCTGACTGTGGTTCAGATCATGAGCTACTCATTGCAAAATTCAGACTTAAACTGAAGAAAATTGGGAAAACCACGAGGCCATTCAGGTTTGACCTAGATCGCATCCCTGATGAATATACAGTAGAGGTGAAGAATAGATTCAAGGGTCTGGATTTGATAGATAGAGTGCCTGAAGAACTATGGACAGAGGTTCGTGACATCGTACAGGAGGCAGCAATCACCACCATCCCAAAGAAAAAGAAATGTAAGAAAGCAAAGTGGCTTTCTGATGAGGCTTTACAAATAGCAGAGGAAAGAAGGAAAGCGAAAGGCAAAGGCGAAAAGGAAAGATTTACCCAACTGAACGCAGATTTCCAGAGAACAGCAAGGAGAGATAAGGAGGCCTTCCTGAATGAACAGTGCAAAGTAATAGAAGAAAACAATAGAATGGGAAGGACTAGAGATCTCTTCAAGAAAATTGGAGAAATCAAGGGAGCGTTCCATGCAAAGCTGGCCATGATAAAGGACAAAAACGGTAGGGACCTAACAGAAGCAGAAGAGATTAGGAAAAGATGGCAAGAATACACAGAAGAACTATACAAGAAAGACCTCGATGTCCTTGACAACCACGACGGTATAATCACTGACCTCGAGCCAGACATCCTGGAATGTGAAGTTAAATGGGCCTTAGAAAGCATTACTAACAACAAAGCTAGTGGAGGTGATGGTATTCCAGCTGAACTATTCAAAGTCTTAGAAGATGATGCTGTTAAAGTTCTGCACTCCATTTGCCAGCAAATTTGGATAACGCAACAGTGGCCACAGGATTGGAAAAGGTCAGTATACATTCCAATCCCAAAGAAGGGCAATGCCAAGGAATGTTCAAACTATCGCACAATTGCACTCATATCACACGCTAGCAAGGTCATGCTCAAGATCCTACAAGCTAGGCTTCAACAGTACGTGGATAGAGAACTACCAGAAGTACAAGCTGGGTTTCGAAGAGGTAGAGGAACGAGAGATCATATTGCCAACATTCGCTGGATTATGGAGAAAGCAAGAGAGTACCAGAAAAACATCTACTTCTGCTTCATTGACTATGCTAAAGCCTTTGACTGTGTGGATCACAACAAACTATGGCAGGTCCTTAAAGAGATGGGAGTACCAGACCACCTCACATGTCTCTTGAGAAACCTGTATAAGGGCCAAGAAGCGACAGTTAGAACCGGATATGGAACAACTGATTGGTTTAGCATAGGAAAAGGAGTACGACAAGGATGTATATTGTCACCTTGCTTATTTAATATATATGCAGAGTACATCATGCGAAATGCTGGCCTGGATGAATCACAAGCGGGAATTAAGATTGCTGGGGAAAAGATCAACAACCTCAGATATGCAGATGATACCACTCTAATGGCAGAAAGTGAAGAGGACCTCAAGAGCCTCTTGCTCAGGGTAAAAGAGGAGAACGCAAAAGTGGGATTGAAGTTCAACATCAAAAAAACTAAGATCATGGCATCCGGCCCCATCACTCCTTGGCAAATAGAAGGGGAAGTCGTGGATGTGGTGACAGACTTCACGTTCCTGGGATCCCAGATCACCGCAGACTGTGACAGCAGCCATGAAATTAAAAGACGCCTGCTCCTTGGGAGGAAAGCGATGGCGAACCTAAACAGCATGATAAAAAGTAGAGACATCTCCCTGCCAACAAAAGTCCGCATGGTCAAAGCGATGGTATTCCCAGTAGTCATGTATGGCTGCGAGAGTTGGACTATAAGGAAGGCCGAGCGCCGAAGAATAGATTCTTTTGAACTATGGTGCTGGAGAAGACTCTTGAGAGTCCCTTGGACTGCAAGAAGATCAAACCAGTCAATCCTAAAAGAAATCAACCCTGACAGTTCCCTGGAAGGCCAGATAATGAAACTGAAGCTCAAAGACTTTGGCCACCCAATGAGAAGGGAGCACTCACTGGAGAAGACCCTGATGCTGGGGAAGATTGAAGGTCAAAGAAGACGGGGACGGCAAAGGATGAGATGGTTGGACAGTGTCAGCGACGCAACGAACATGAAATTGAGCCAACTTCAGAGGACGGCGGAAGACAGGAGGGGCCTGGCGGGAGCTGGTCCATGGGGTCGCGAAGAGTCGGACTCGACTGTGCGACTGAACAACAACAACAAAACTGGAATCAGGGACCCCTTTTTTGCACCATCTTCTGTTTCCTTGTGTTTAATTTCCCCCCTTAAACTAATGCAGTGTTTAACCTTGTTTTGGTATCATTGGTGGATGACATGTTAATCACATTGAAAGGGTGGGGAATAGCCTACAGAAACCATCTAGCAGGGGGATGGAAGTGCTGGGAACATCTCTGCTACTGGAGTGAGATCAGGGATAAGCTTCCGTTCCTTCCCTGTGACGGATATGTTTTTTAAAAAATATTTATTTTTATTCAATATGTTGTAGTATATAATACAATATATAACATAACAGTATTAAGATCATAACAATAACAGTAACAATAATAATAACATCTCCTACACAGTATTATTATAGAGTAAGCTATTTAACTTAATGATCTTTTGTTATGTTTGATTTGTCGTTGAGAATAGGTTGTAGATCCTTTAATAATTGTCAGCAGTGCGCTTTTAGATCTGAATATATTTTGGTCATTATTAATATGTATTTGTAGTTTGGTTTTGACATTTTATAAGAATAACCATTTGCGATATGGAGGGTTTGAAGGGAGTAATTTGTGTGTTGACATGAAGTTTAATACTGGTGCCCATGTCTGAACGAATTTGGAGTAGACTATTATTGTCAGTTTGGTGTAGTGGTTAAGTGCGCAGACGCTAATGTAGGAAAACCGGGTTTAATTCCCCACTCCTCCACTCACAGCTGCTGGATGACCTTGGGCAAGCCATAGTTCTGTTAGAGCTGTTCTCTCAAGGACAGTTCTCTCAGAATTCTCTCAGCCCCACCTACGTCACAGGGTGTCTGTTGTGGGGAGGGGAAGGGAAAAGAGTTTGTAAGCTGCTGTGAGACTCTGAGTGAAGGGCGGGTTATAAATCCAATCTCCATCTCCTCCTCCTCCTCCTCCTCCTCCTCCTCTTCTTCTTCTTTGTGTTCTTTGAATCGAGCCTGAAACCTTTGCCATTACGAATTGGTCCCACCATTTTTCATACCATGCAGTGAGCGTTGGAGGTGTGGGAGATCTCCAGGATGATGCTATTGTTAATCTGGCTGTTGCTAACAGTATTGAGGTAAACTCTTTGGTATTATCTTTTATTGAGTTGCCCCATAGATTCAGAAGCATGATTTCTGGTTTGCAGAGAATTGATTGTGAGGCAATCTCATTGATCTGAGTTGATACTTCTTTCCAGAACTGTAGAATCCCTGGACAGCTCCACCAGCAGTGAAGGTAAGTACCGACTTGTCCACATTTTTTCCAGCATATTGGGTTATTGGTTTTGTTTATTTTGTATAGTTGAAGTGACAGATATGTAAGCCTGGATGCGGCCAGAAGTGCAAGCCTTCTTGCAAGAGCCAAAGGGTAAGACCCACGGGGATCTTGGCCCTTGGCTCTTAGCCCAACAGTCCTGAGTTTGCAACCATTCCCTCCTGCTACAGATATGTAAGCCTGGGTGTGTCCAGAAGTTCAAGCCTTTAGGAAAGAGCCAAAGGGTGAGACCCATAGCCCAGAGTGAGATGGGCCAGGGGGGAATCCAAGACTGGCTCAGGATGTTGCTGCATTCATTTTTACTGCTTGTTTAAATTATGTATTTTGGTGTTTATTTTACAAGATGCTTTGAGTCCCCTGTTGATGGTGGAAAGTGCCATCAAGTCACAGCTGACGTACGGCTACCCCTGGTAGAGTTTTCAAGGCAGGAGACGTTCAAAGGTGGTTTGCCATTGCTTGACTCCATGTTGCAACCCTGGAGGCCAATCCCTAGGAGGAAAGGCTGAGAAACTTGGGAATGTTTAGTCTGGAGAAAAGGAAGTTGAGAGGGGACATGATTGCTCTCTTTAAGTATTTGAAGGGCTGTCACTAAGAGGAGGGCAGGGAGCTGTTCCTGTTGGCAGCAGAGGAGAGGACTCACACTCATGGGTTTAAATTAAGGGCAGGAAGGCACCGGCTGGATCTTAGGGGAAACCTTTTTACTGTAAGAGCTGTGGAACAGTGGGATCAGCTGCCCAGGGAGGTGCTGGGCTCCCTGTCACTGGCAGCCTTTAAGGAGCGGCTGGACACACACTTTTCAGCAATGCTCTAGGCTGATCCTGCATTGAGCAGGGAGTTGGACTAGATGGCCTGTATGACCGTGTCCAGCTCTGTGATTCTATGATTCCATGATTCCTTGGAGGTCTCCCATCCAAATACTGGCCAGGGTCAACCCTGCTTCACTTCCGAGATCTGACGAGAAATATCATGTAGAAATACATCATATAACTAAAGAGCACAATCACGGGGACAAACCAATTGGGAACACCCACAAGACAAAAAGGCAAAATGGCATGGCTCATGAACAACAAGGGCATATTGGAACGTCCCCCGCCCTCACCCCTTGTTGCTTACGTCTTCAGGTGCACCCCATGGTTCTTTTCCACCCCGGCTGCCGCGTGGTATGGATGTGAGCTGGTGGAGCCCTCTGAGTCGCTGCTGTAGCCCGTTTGGCTGACAGAACGTGGGGAGTCCTTGGGGCCAGAGGCCTTTGCCCTGCCGCGCCCTTTGTGCTTAGGCATCGAAGCGGATCTGGAATGGCGCCTGTGAAGGTGCTTCTCTCCTCCCGAGCACCTCCCTGGTGACGCGGACTGCCGCGGGGTCTTGAGGCCATGCTTGCTCCCCCTGCCAGCTTTGGCATGAGGCGATGGCGCTTCGGTCTTGATGTGTACCCTGGGCGAAGGTGATACAGAATCCAGCCTCTGGGGGAAAGAACGACAGAAAAGGGGGAAGAGAAGGAAGGGGGAAAGAAAGAAAGAAGGAAAGGAGAATGTTTTTTTTAAAAACAAAAACAAAGAGAACCCCCCCTCCCTGCCCGGGAGGAAGCGGCAATTCACAACGGCAATGCACAATGGTTCAATAAGGCAGGCTACACAGAAACTACTCTGCACCTTGCTTCCCTGTTCACCCTCTCATTCTTACACAACGCAGCTCATGCAAATCTTTGGCATGCAAAACAGAAAAGAAAAAACAAAATGAAAGCAAAATGAAACAGGGAGAGAGAGTTCAAATATAGAACCTTGGGGGGAAAAATCGAAGGCTATGTTTAAAATCCCAAATGATATGGGGGGTGGGGGGAACAGAAAGAGAAAGGGGAAAGGAGATATTGGTGGATGGGGCAATATTATGGGATGGATCTGAAGCAGGGCATGTGGGCTTGGGTCAAGAGGGTCTCCTTTTTTTGGTTAGCCAATCAAGGAGGCAAAGAAAGGAGAGAATTATGGGGGAAAGTGATGTGGATAATGGCAGGGGGGGGATAAGGGTTGGGGTGGGAAGGGAAATCAAATTAGAAAGCAAAAGAAAACTCCACAAATATCATAATTACTGAAACCAAAGAAAAGGAAAAAAAATGTTTCTGGACTCTTTCCTGGGTTTCCAACGTCTTAGCTTTGTGCAGAGTCTCCATCAACGCTCTAATCTCTTTCTCTTTTTTTTTCCTCTTTCAATTCATCTTATATTCTGTTTTGTTAAATTTCCACTTTTTTTTTTTTTAAGTCCCTCTTGGTTAACATCCACTTACCAAGAAAGTGGCATTTCCTCCTTTAGTAGGTAAGGTATGAAGAGAAGGGAAAAGCGGGCAATATAAGTGCATCATTAGATTGACAAAAATGCAAGAGAGAGAGAGAAGAGAGAGACAGAGAGAAAGAGAGAGAAGAGAGAAATAAAAAAAGAACCAAAACCACCCTTTCCTCCTACGGCCTGCCAATGAGCAATCGGGTTTGCGAAAGGGCAGCCCCTCCACCTCTTCTCGTCAGGAAGAGCTAGAGGATCGGAATACCTTTGGATTGCTCAGAAATCCATCTCTGTGCCTTGGCTTTACCCCTCCCCACCAGAAAGCAATCACTTGGAAGAATTTCACAAAGCACGTCAGCCTGGAAATTGTAAGATTTATAGGCTGCAGTAGCCCGATGGAGCCAACCCTCCACTAATTATTATTATTACTGTTATATATTTTTGGCTGGTCCAACCAATACAGCTCTGTTTCCATCCAGGATCAGGGACTGATAAACCAGATTTGCCAGGATCCGCCCACCACCTGATTTCATGAGGCTCCACTCATATATTGCCAGTTGCGCCTCTGCCCCCACCCATCTTGCAGGTTTCAACTCATCTCCAGTACGAACCCATCCGATTCCTTCATATGTGAGACCCACCCTTGGTCCTCTTTGTCTTCCCTTTGTTCCCTGTCACCTTTGAGAGGACCGCTCCTATTTCAAACATTGGCAACTCCCTAGGAATAAACTGGAAGGACGGGTAATACCATTCCTGTTCCATTCTCCTCTTTCAGTTCCCTTGTGGGGGAAAAATCCCAGAATCTGCTGAACAGGGGGGGGACCCCTTACAAGCAGCAGGAAAAGCCCACAATGGATTAGAATAACACTGAACTTTTGTTATGGGAAAGTGATTGATAGGAATCCTGCCCTGGCTCAGATTCCAAGTGCCTTACTAGGAAGGAATTTCAGAGATGCTTTTAAGATGCTTTAAAAAATCTATGCTACAGATCTATAACTGACAGCAATTATCTGGCTGTCTTCAAAGAATCCCAGGAATGACCGTTCGGGGAGAATTCTCTGTTGGAGAGTCCTAGTTCTCTCAAAGAACTACAATTCCCATAATCCCCAGGGAAGAAGAAATGGCTGTTAAACCAATTTCATTCTGCGGTATGGATAGGGTTGCCAAGTGGACTTACCCCTCGCGGCGGGGGAGCCTTGCCGCGGTCCGGGAGTTGTTGCTGGACGCGCGCGCGCGCACGCCAGCAGCACGTCACCAGAAGTGACATGCGACGTTGGGGGCGTGGCCGAGCTTGTCGGGGGGAAAACCATATGGTTTCCCCCCCGATAAGCTCGGCCAAGCCCCCAACGTCAGCAACGTGGCTGCGTCACCTCTGGTGACGCAGCTTCAGTGGCAGGGTTCCCCCCGGGGCCCAATTCCGCCGTGGTGGAAATTGGGCCTCCGAAGCGGGGGATTCCCTGCCCCCCGGGCCCATTTGGCAACCCTAGGTATGGATTTGCCCGCAGGGCATCCAAGACATGGCTTCTCAGCTGGGTACTGTGGTCTGGGAGTTATCCGAAGCAGTGTTGCCAACTGTCAGCCTGGAGATCTTACTTGTCATGTTTATGAAAAGGTTCTGAAGCATCCAGGAAAGATGGAACAACTGTAACCAGTGTCCCCTCTAAGCTGGGTTCGTGTGAGCTAGCTCACCGTTTTTTAGCCTCCGGCTCACACATTTTTGTTTTCGCTCAGGAAGGATGGCTCCAGAGCAAAATAATTTATGCAGTAGCTAAATCTCTAGCTCACAACTTTAATGCCAGGAGCTCACAAAGTAGAATTTTTGCTCACAAGACTCCACAGCTTAGAGAGAACATTGACTATGACCCTAGATTTTCCTTCCATGATGGACCCCCTTCTCCCATTTTCTTTCCTCTGCTTGCTGTAGGATGAAACCAAAGGATCTCCTTGCTACAGCCAGTCGAAAATAAAGATGGGAAAATGAGGCACATCCAATCAGATCATTGGAGGCATGACATGATATGACAGAATATTAGGGTAGGGCACAGGTTTTATTGTTATGTACAAGCTACATTGGTTAAGATAGGGCTTACTCAGCACTTCAAAAGAAGGGGTCTGATTAAAAATGAAGTTATACAACCCAAATTCAGCTCTTGGATTGCCATCCAATCTTCACACCTGTTCCTGAATCCGATCGGAACCATCCTACTTTCCCTTAACCACTGCCTTCCATTGTCTTGTCATGGTGGACATCTTGAGGAGATATAATGAGAAAGCAAGCACTGTTAAAATGGCTGCCATGTGTAAATAGAAGAGGAATATCCATTTTGGCGTGGCAGCTAGGGCTGCCAAGTGGGGGCGGGTGGTGGGTAAACCCCTGCTTCGGAGGCCTGATTTCCGCTGCCGTGGATTTGGGCCCCGGGGGGAACTCCCCCCCCCGAAGCACAGCGTGGCTGCATCACCGAAGGTGACGCAACCACGTCAATCACGTGGTCCCGATCGTTGGAGGGAAAACTCTATGGTTTTTCCTCCGATGATCTGGGCCACGCCTTCAACGTGATCAACGTCGCGCGTCACTTCCGGTGACGTGCTGGCGGCACGCGTGTGCATCGAGGACCGGCTCTCGGAGCCCAGCGAGGCTCCCCCGCCGGTAAGAAAATTGGACTTGGCAACCCTAGTGGCAGCCACTTTGACAACCGAAAATTTACATGCCAAAGATGGTAGGGAGAGGGTCTGCTGGCAACAGGAACGGGTACTAGTTTGTGGGTATGGACATGACCTCATTTTTTGGTGTTTGGATATCTGAGTACTCAAATGCGAATTGACCCAGGTACAGATTTCAATGCTCACTTACATATAAAGCCTGGCCTTGTGGCAATAAATGAATGGACACCACATTCTCATAAACAGGTGGTAAATGGTTTGTACCACTTGAGACTGCAGGTGGGAGCATAAGCGAAAGCTCTTAAAACCTCTACACAAAGACAATGTATGTGTCACGGGGAAGTTTCCTAACTAGACTTCTTAAAACGCAGTCCAGGACTTTATGGTCCAGACACACAGGTTTAGCTTTTGAGGAATAAGGTTCGGCATCTCCCTTCAAACTAGCTTATTTTGTCTGACTTTTTGAAGGTTTAATATTTTCACATTTTGCTGTTCAAGGGATACGGAAAGATATGGCCTTATGTTGCGTCTAAAGGACATGATGTGCAACAGCGTGTTTTAAAATTCCATTTATTTCTGCCTTGTACCTGAGGCATATCTCCTGTCTTTCATTCTTGTCAGTGGCTTGTCAAATCCAACCCCCATCAGTAGGCTTCCCAAGTCCCCCCGGGGGGCGGGGAAACCCCCGCCCCAGAGGCTCGTTCCCCGGTGCTGCCGGATTGGGCCCGGGGGGAACTCCTCCCCGACACACGCGTCACCTGGAAGTGACGCGGCCACGCCGGGCACGCTGGGGGCGGGGCCATGGCCATCCGAGGGAAAACTCTATGGTTTTCCTTTGTATGGCCATGGCCCCGCCCCCAGCGTGCCTGGCGTCGTCCAATCACTTCCGGGTGACATGCATGCGTTGCGTGCGCGCACCAGATGCCGGTCGGGAGCCCCCCACTCCTGGCGAAGATCAACTTGGCAACCCTACCCATCAGAAAAATTAAGATTTTTTAAAATTAACATTGCTAAAGTCCCTGTACTTTCAATATACCAAATTAGGAATGTTTCACAAATCTGGCCTAAAAACACATACATTTTGAATGTTGCAAGCAAACTCACAGTTGGAGAACCTCTTTAAAACATTCTCCCCCATATACTTAAAATTTCCTTTGGATCCAAACTGTATTTATGTCTTCTTGTTGTGCTACATGGTCTATGGTCTGCCTCCAAAGCCACACTATAACTGCTACCACCTTTGACCAAAACACCTCCTAGCCCTCACCCTAAAAGCTTCTCCAAATTCCATAATCAGTATGAATTCTTAAAGTAAATGTAAAGGTTTCCCTTGCTTGAAAGCCAGTCGAATCTGACTCTAGGTGTTGGTGCTCATCTCCGTTTCCAAGCCGAAGAGCCAGCACTGTCCGAAGGTGTTCCCATGGTCATGTGGCCAGCATGACTATACACTAAGGCGCATGAAACATTGTTACCTTCCCACCGAAGCGGTACCTATTTATCTACTTGCAATTTTTTGCTTTTGAACTGC